TCTATACAGCTTTTCTGAGTGAGTCGCTATTTTACACGGTCTATGCAAAAGTTTCAGCAGATGTATATAGAGCAGCATGCATCAATTTTGCTCTATCAGAGAGAGAGAGAGAGAGAGAGAGAGAGAGAGAGAGAGAGAGAGAGAGAGAGAGAGAGAGAGAGAGAGAGAGAGAGAGAGATCATCAAATGATGATAATCTTCTATCTGATAATTTGGTCGCTAATAGTTCCACTTCATTTTTTGATATTGGTGATTTGTCATGTACAGAATTAGAGCTTCATTCTCTTTCAGTTTCTCTGAAACAGAGATATGCAAAGATCAAATAATACATATATCTTGTTTGTTTTAATAATATTAAGTGGAAGGACTTCATGTTGCGTGTAGTTAAAATGAGTGAGTGATCAAATAGAGGTAAATTTGGCTACCACATGGGACTGAATTTAGGGTTTTAGCTACTGTAAAGCTTCGTCACCCACACTGGCCAACTGAGAACTGAACCCAAGACCAAATTCCATTTTTTTTTATTGTGTGGCCTTGGCATTAATGACTTCACATGCACTAACACAATTTAATTACTCAACAATATTAATTAATTATCTCTAAATTTCAATCCTTATTATGGCACATACGATTCAACATCAGTGACAACAAGTAAGGCTAATAATACCTGACCTATGGCCAGTGGTTAATAATGCCTAACCTATGGCAAATTGCTCATAATGCCTGACCTATGGCATGTGCCTAATAATGCCTGACATGGCATGTGCCTAATAATGCCTGACATGGCAAGTGCCTAATAATGCCTGACCTATGGCATGTGCCTAATAATGCTTGACATGGCAAGTGGCAAATAATGCCTACCTGTGGCAACTAGTTTAAGTGCTTTTACACATAACAATATATTAATATCAATGTAAATTTGATCAAAGAATTTATTGCAAATGGAAAATTGAGATGCTGCTGTCTAGATCGTTCAGATTTTGGCAACATTTACCCCCCTTTCCTTTATGGAAGTGATTTGGTATTAACCTTTGGCATATTAAGGATGTCATCTATCACCTAATACCAAATCCGACGTAATAATTAACAATTAATCGATAGAAAATGGAATGTCGTACGTGAAGCAGTTGAAATGTGCAGTATTTGACAAAATATCGTCACTTTCGCTCCTTCGTAGAAGAGGGTTATTTATTTAAAATAGATCAAGGAATTCATTGCAGTAAGACTATTTTAGATGAGGTAATGTGTAATGGGCAATATTTGTAAAACAATCGTTACCCTCTCCCCTGGTAAAATGGGGAATATATTTTCCTCTTAATCTTTGGTAAAATTAAAGCTGCCGTGCATAACCTCATTTCAATTTCGGCTTAAAATTTGTCAAGGAATTGATTGGGAAAGTTATTTTTGAGATGACATTGTGGGAAAAGTGCAATATTAAATAATGTTGTGGGTATCCCTATACTTCGTCTTCGCTTAATTGTAGAAATATTTGTAAAAATACCAACGTCACCGATTTGCTGGTTAAGCTTGAACACAAGATAACGACTACTATACATGAAATTGAAAGTATTAGTAAAGTTCGCATTGTGTTACTAACAAACAGAATATTAAAGAATAAAGAATGCCAGGGTCAGATTAACGAGATCTCTCCATAAGAGGCCATTTGTTGTCATCAAGCGACAATATGGTGTCGGCGTTCGTCTGACTTAGTATAGTGGAGTGCAACGCAGGGAGCATACTAAGCAGGGGACCAGACTACCAATTACCTGTATATGTCTAAATTGTACGCAGGTTAGTTCCGGACAGATCTGCACGCAGCACAATTGCACATTTTAATGAACAAGACATTAGACCCAAATATCGTTCATCAATATCGACACAGATCGGGGTGTCATTTCTTGGACTAGTAGAAGACCTACAAAGCACTCGCAAAGGGACACAACTCAGACTAACAGCCGAAAGCAATGTTAATTCGATAATAAGTAAATAAATTCGCATCACACTTAGAGCAGATAAACATTCTAGTTTCATTGATACATCTACCGTTCAGTTTTAACAAGCATATTTAATTGACGTTATATTTTGTTCTTAATTTCAAAGTGGAAAAGTAACATTTCTTGTCATGTTTCCTTATGCTCCATTCAGCGCCTAATTGTTTTGCTGGATCAAAATACAATTGCTGTTCATTTGATGAAATGACTTTTTAAACTTTTAATAATACGACAATCTATTGCAGACCTCAGAAAATTGTTTTAATATAAAACTATACCAATTCATTGGAGAAACTGAAGCCATTATCATTTGTATTACAACACACTTTTCATTAAAATTTAACAAGTTTTTGAAGTACACCTGTAATATTTATTGATACTAGCAATATGTTTGGTGAGTACTTTTATTTTATCTTTCAATATAAAGAATAGATAGAAAGTCAGAATTAGTGAAAATCGAGGAATACGATGACAGTACTTGAAAATGTTGTGTCATCTAATTACGATCATCAGGGGTAGCTGATTTGTAATCAACATTAGGAATGGAATGTCACATATTGTTTTCTTTAGCGTCACACATTTATCTTGGTTTAAAACAGAACAGAACTGAATGTTTCTTCTTACCTACTGTAGGTCTCCAGCTCATAAAACTTAACATAATAATACAGAGTATAATACACATTACCACATAAACAGTATTGTAAAATACATTTGTTTAGGTGTTAATATTGATACTTTTAAATAGATCATTTATTAGGTTTAGAGCGAAATGCACATATTTTGAAACATTATTAAGGGTCATTTTCTGAATAAACATTAAATATATGATTTTATCTCCTGAAGGATGATATAATAATCTCCTCTAGACATTTCTGTCATTAAATGGTATTAGAAGTATATATATACATACAAATAATACTGTCTACACACTTTATATTTTCTTTCAGATATAATCTGCAAACTGATTTCTTTAAATTTTAGTGTGTCTTCAGAGTTCAATCAATAAATCATGTTTAGAACATCGAAAAGATGCAAATGATATTCTGAAAATGAAAGGCAGATCTAATGTTAAAAATTTCTCTGCATCCATGAACGAGTTATACAATATTTAGAATCGTTTATTGTACTTGACCATATCTGTAACAAAGAGTAAAATAGATGTTGTTTGAACATAGTCAGAAACAGTCACCCATTTCTAGAGCTTAACCAAAATCCCGAGAGAGTAAAATATTTTTAAGTTTACTGGCCTATGTGCTTTTGCCGGCATCATCCAGATTTTAAAAAAAATATAATATAACAATTTGAATATCTGCTTTTCTGCATGTGTATAATTTTTGTCCAGTACTTTACACATTCGAGCATATAAGTTGCACTCAAAGTATGGTCCACTTTCACCAAGACAATCATTCACAATATTTTGTACGTTAATAAATCTTTCAGAAACTGTGTGTTGAATTGCTTCTATTTATGGTATCTTTGTTTTAAAATCGTAGTCCTCGTCTTTGTTAAGCACACCTCTTACTTCTCGTATCCATGAGTTGAACCAAGTTTGCTCGTAAGTTAAAATTTTTAGCCCATTACCATTTTATTATACTGAATATTTCTAATAGACTACAAAGCTAACAGCGCAGATCAGGGTCTATGCAGTTTGCAAGAGGAAAAGACTTTAATGAGAGTATATATAGTAGCTCCTACTTTTATGGCATTAAAGTCCACTGTGTAAATAATTAATATGGTGAATTTAAATCAAACACTATCTCAAAATTTTACAAAATAGATAAGGTCTATTTTGGATATATCTTCATTATATAATATATCTGAATCACCCGTTTACAAAATAGTTTTTCTACTTGTCCGACCTTTTGTGATAATATCAAACCCATATGCCTAGTTCTCAAGGAGTTTAAAAGTTCGCTTGCCATCTTACCAAAGGTTTATACGAGATACCATCTTTTGAAAACATTAGTTGTTAGAAAGTCAATTCCCATCGCCCCTACCCCAATTCCAAAAATGACGATAAATCATGTATACAAGCTAAACAACACTAAGGCGTTCGTAAGCAAAGAGAGTCATGTAAGGTGAATAACTCATCTTTTCTTTGGAACCGTTGGGAGAATATGTATAATATGTATAAATCATATGGGACGCAATATGTATAATATATATATATATATATATATATATATATATATATATATATATATATATATATATATATATATATATATATATATATATCATATGGGACGCATTATGTATAATATGTATAAATCATATGGGACGCAATATGTTGTTGTTGTTGTGTTTAACGCCATTTTTCAGCACATGATAGGCTATTCATGGCGGCCAGTATTAATGGTGGAGGAAGAAGCCGGGAAATCACCGGAAAGAACCACCGACCCACGAGAAGCTACTGGCATGCTTTCTCACATTTCCACATTCGCCGAATCCTAGACTCGAACACACGCAGACAGAGGTGAGATGGCAGTGATCCGTAACGGACAGCGCTTTAGACCACTTGGCCACTCGGGGCCCCCGGGACGCAATATGTATAATATGTATAAAACATATGGGACGCAATATGTATAATATGTATAAATCATATGGAACGCAAACGGCATAGGGTTTTAGCCATTCGTAGAAAAGATATTAGGAAAAACAAACCTCGGCATATCCTTGGCACACATTTGCTAGTATAGAATCCCAGCTGGCTTACGTTTTGAACAAGCGAATAAATCTGACCGCTTGAATCGATTAGGGACGATGTTTTCATGCAGGAAATATTTTAATCTATTTTTGGGATGATTGTAGAGATAACAGGTGAATGAACATATCATCATTCCAGATTACCCGAATTTCCGTCAAAGTATGTAAGAAAGGCATGCAAAATTCTTGTGAAAATTTATCGCTTAAGTCTATAGAAGTTAAATAATGTTGGTCTCATTTCTCTTTTCTATGGCTTGATAAAAATGTATCAATTAATTGCTTCACCTTCTTTACACACCACTCCGGTGGCATAATGGCTAGAGCGTCCGCCTTGGCAGCGGGAGAGCTGGGGTTCGAAACCCGGCAGATTCATACCAAAGATATAAAATGGTACAAGGCTGCCTTGCTATGCACTCTGCATTAAGAAGTTAGTGTTAGGACAGGTAAGCCTGGTGTCTGGATAATGTGACTGGGTGGGACATGATGCTAAATGTCTGCGGCATGATGCCCCAGAGCTAGACATCACTACAAAATTGTCACATTAGCAAAATGACTGAAAATTCTAAAAGCTACTTTAAAAATCCTAATTACATCAGAGGCTCTTCAAATACCGTATATACTCACTTACATATTATATATGCTATATTTATAAGACGAGTGAAATTGGAAATAAAACGATCCAGATCTGCATGAGCATAGCGTGCATGCTAATCAGAGTCTACGTTGTTTTACCTACTGACTACTTTACTGATTACTCCAAGCAAATTACCCAGGATGTAACAGACGATCTGGGTCTGTGCAGTTTGCAGACTCGTCTGATAAGCCAGTACTGACAGTAGGTCGCTGTGAATGACTTTTCTAATTTTAGATAGGACTACTTAGACGAAAATCCTAATATGCTTCATCATGGTGAAATGAATGATAGACAAAATAAATCTTGTACTAAATATCAATGAGAGACAAAATTGTTCAATTGAAGAATGATTTTAGGAAGTTTTGGTAAGGTTTCTAGGGCAAAGAACGGAATAAAATATAAGATACAAAATAAATATTTAATTCTATTAACCGAAAATCTGTTTTATGCGTTTATGCTTGTCATATGATACTAAGTCATTCTTCAATATAAAAATTATAATATGTATTAGGAAAGTAGGTGTGATCTTATTTTTCAATACATTTGTTCAATACATTGCAAATAAAAATGAATCTACAAACAAGTGTTGTGTAATGTATATTCGACATGTGGTTCGCTGTAAAATAAATTTATACCTTTTCATTTTTGTAATATGGGCAAGGGGCCTAAAATGCTGAATAAACATTCTGTTCTGCTCTGTTTATGTTTTTCTCCACTTAACTTCTGTAAACAATCTAGTCCAGTTTTCAGGAATCGCAAGGGAAACAAATATTAATCAGAATCCATTCAACGTTAATGAAAATATAAGAAATTACTTACTCCCGGGAAACAGTTATACGTCTTAAGCGCAGTTCTGTTATTAGTTACAGGAAATGAATTCTAATTCCAGAATCAATATCACATTTAGACTGTGTTGTTTCAATTCTATTTGTAAGCAAACTTAATAAATTCTTGGCAAAGTTGTGAAAACACTGACATGTTTAAACAGTCTCACTCATTTGGTGGAACGTTGCCAGCTCGTGTTTTGTGGTCTGAGCGGAAAGCTTCTTTTCGTTTCTTTTAAAGCGGAAAATTAATGTCTTTATTTTGCGCACATAAATCCATGGTTATTAATAAATGTAATCTAAATGAATCTTATTGGTACCTGCCAAAATATGTAATAAATTTCTAATTATTTATACCCCTTATCCCAAATGTTTCGAAATGTTCTATGATTACAAAAATGTATGTGAAATCAATTTGTAGAAAAGCTACTTCCGTTACTGAATTAGTAAGTTTTGAACCCCTATATGACATACTTTAGGAGTAGCGATTTTGATTTACAACATTTGTGAAACTACATAATAAAAAACCAACGTCATAACAGTAGAGGTGACGGAATATGAAAGTTAGGGCTGAAATATCCATGATTCTGCACGTGGCTCAAAATGAGTAGTAGTGTGTGCTTGTGAGTAAAACGAAATTTTTCAGTACATGATATCCTATATATGGCGGTCAGTATATTTTAGTGGGGTAAGAATCCAGGAAAGCCCCATTAAAAACCACCGACCCAAGGGTAGCTGCTGTAAAGCTTTCTCTCCTACCCACGTTAGATGTGCCGAGACTTGATCCCACGCAGACAGAGATGATATATATGTGATCAGACCACTCGGTCACTGGGGACCCCGGACTTTATTGAAATGCAGATTAGAGATTTTATTACTGATCCTTGTTCCAGCCTAACAACGCCTCTTTTGCACATGCAAGTGTATTCCCATGAGTAACTTTACGCAACAAACACGAGTTTAATCGCTGTTTCGGTGATAGCTCGTGAGCGCTTCTCCCAAAAAGAAACCACCGTGGTGCCTTAGACGAAAACGTCCGCATGATAGCCTCCACAAGAGCAAGAGTTTCAACGATCAAATGTCGTCGAGAGTATGCGCTCTGTGTGATTTTAACCGTTAATAAATTTTGTAAGCCTGTAAATATATTGCCTGATTGGGTTTTATTTTGAACGCAGTTGCGTTCTTGTTCAGTATCTGTGTTCTAAGTCGTCGAAATCTTTCCATTGCCGCGAATATAATCTTGAACTCAGTCATGGTAATGGTTTTATTTTCGACGGCCACTGAGTTCAGTTTACTGATTATAATAAGACTGCTTCTTTGGCTACTTGTGGATGCAGTCGTAACGATTTTTTTGCCTGCTGCTGATCTTTATTGATATAGCTCCAACAACAAATCCAGTTAATGTGTCTATAATATTCCAGTAACAACAATAAAACTGGTCGCGGCGGCAGATTGTATCTACAAAAATACACAATTGTTTCAATTTCAAAAGCACGGGTCTTTTTATTGATTTGATCTCGTAGCTTTTGTTCAGTTCAATTATATTCTCGTATCGGTAGTGTTGAATGTCCATCATCTTTCTTCTATTAATAATGTGACCTAGAAGTAAATTTCTCGACAGGCAGACCTTGTCCAGACACATAATAGCCAGGTGAAACACCTCTACGCACTTCCAACCAAGTATTTGCTTTCTTTACTGGTACAACTGACATGCTGTCTTAGAAAATACTTTCATGAGGAATATGCATGTCCCTGACGATTGTTTAACTAGAACTACATGGATTACTCTCCTGCTTGGTATTGTCAACGATAGCTCTCGTTTTTGTCTAAGAACTGTTACATGAACAAGTAACGCATATGAGTCTGGGGTTTTCTTCCGCCAGTAACGTTGATGCTTCTTACTCAAAAAAATTAACGGTTAATCTTATCGCAGTGTATTTTCTTCATCGTTGTAGAAACAATCCAACGGACATTTTTGCGTACTAATGCGATGATTCCAAGTTGAGCTGAGTTGATGATATTAATAAATCTTGGTGGGCAATTTTTGTCAGGCCCTCGCATCAATTATATTTGTGTGTACTTAAGGGTTTCTTAACGGTATTGCCACACAGATATTCATCGACAAGCGGTACAAAATCGCCATCGATGAAGACATGCCCTCACAGCTGATCCAACATCTCGTTCGTCACCATTAAACAGCTTAAGATTGCCATCCCGTGACTGTTCAGAATAGATCAGATTTATGTTATGATAAATCTTCAGCACGATTGCCAAAATCAGCTATGTACCCGACTGGAAAGATACTGATTCCCTGAAATTGAATTTCATATATGGCGTGCATTGACACCGAAATCGTATAAGCGAAGTAATTTTCAACCTCATTGTCCTGGACGGTAAGTATCATTTATTAGGTCACCAGACCGGAGATTATTTTTAAATATTGATATTGAACCTAACACCCCATAACAAACGGGATAAAAAAAAATAAATACAATCTTGACTCGCAAATCGTTTACTTGATTTGCTCAAATATGTGTTGCTTAGCTCACAATTAGTCTACTTACAAAGCACTTCAGCCAGTGTACAGGACGCACACATCCATCTTATACTTCTTAGTTCACATTAGTTCTGTGCATTATTTGCCAAGCAGCTGAGTATTATTTCTCTTTCTCTCTCTATCTCTCTCTCTCTCTCTCGCGCACACACACACACACACACACACGCACACACAGAGTATTACATTTGGAAAAGTAATAATAATTCAATAGTATTTTGAAAGTAAATAATGATTGCATGCATTATTACATCCATCCTGGAGTAATACAGTCTTGCAAATAAGTTAATTTTCATTAAAGCGGCAGGTATGCTGACATTCCTGCCAGAAAAGACATCCGCACCCTCACTCAACAACGCTTTAGCATTAATCAAAACAATATCTTAGCGAAATGCATGAGTCTTTACTTCATTAAACACTGCAACAAATGGTCATTTATTTAATTATCTCCCAAATCTGCAAGGAGCCATTACACACATGGTTAATTTTAATAACAAAATTGTCTCATTAGTGTTTTTTTCAGTGATCTCTATGGAGTTGACTACTGTTCAATTATGTTGAAGTAAAAGTAGTCTGATTTGTTGTTGAAACAGTAATTAGCCTGGTCCCTGTATACACACAGCATTTCATCACACCCGTTAAATATCAACAATGGTAGGTATACACGTTACTAACGGCATGAAAGGAAACACTAAATTTATGCAATGAATGACGGTAAGGATGAATATCATGTCTAAATATGTCATCTGTACCTCACACTCAGAAAATCCTGTTGTTGTTGCTCTTCTTGTTTTAGATTTTTTTAGATTTAAGTGGTGCAGATAGAACTCGAGAAAACCCTAGTCAAAACCACCAACCCACGGTAAGCTACTGGCAATCTTTTTCACAATGTCATTTTCCGGGACTCGAATCACAGAGTGGTGAGAGAGCAGTGACAGACAAAGGCGAGCTCCCTAGACCACTCATCCACACGTGGCCTAGACAATCTTATATTGATCCCTATTATTGCTAGCTCCCACGTGCGCATAAACTACTACACTTACTTAAAAACGAAGATTTAACATTTGTAAAATACCTGGACAAATATGCGTAAAGTGCGTTTCATCTTAGTAACTCTCTCTCTCTCTCTCTCTCTCTCTCTCTCTCTCTCTCTCTCTCTCTCTCTCTCTCTCTCTCTCTCTCTCTCTCATGTATGTGTACAAAGTTTTTCTTCTATCGCCAGTATTCATTCATTTATTAATTCATGCTTGAAATAAAGAATTGTATATGCGTTATGTATTGTATTAGCTACGCGCTTTATTGGCGTACTTAAATCAGTTTGTTAAGTTCTGATCCATCTGTTCAACATAGCTATTTCAGA